AGATTGGTGGACAGGCAGAAGCAAGACGGGGAAGCAGGGCCTATTTCCTGCCACATATGTGGAGAGACTGGCTCCGCGATCTGTTTCTCCACCGATGTCTTTCCCTGAATTTCCAAAGACAAGGACATCGTTGGATTCAAAGTATGGTTTGGCTTCGGAGCCCAAGTATATGCCTCCAAGTCTTCCGGGCCCTCCGCAGTATTCTTCATCCCAGCCTGTGGTGCAGCCGCAGTACCCTCCACCACCTGGTCCTCCAGCTGGTGGTTATCATCCTCCTGGACCTCCGGCCGGAGGTTATCCGCCCCCCTCCGGACCTCCCGGGCCTCCTTATAATCCTTATCCGGGAAATCCTCCAGTGGCTCAGCCAGTTCCTCAGCAGCCCCCAAAGAAGGGTCGTTTCGGTAATCTTGGCACTACGGTAGGTCTACCGTGCATGAACTGTCTATAAATATTTATCGATATAATTTCCAGATGGCACAGTCAGCTGCTGGTGGTCTTGGGTTCGGTGCAGGTTCGTGTACTTGATTTTTACGTTTTCGATACTTCTAATCATTCTTATCCAGGTGCTGCCATCGCTGGTGATATAGTGAACTCAATTTTCTAGACTTCTACTCTCCTCGTGCGTTACTAAGCTTACACAAGTACATTCATTCGTGCTACGTCTTTCTTGACTATAGCATCTTACATTTGGTTATAGTATTAGATACGAAATTCCAACACCGTGGCTTCATATTTACACAATTTGATGCTTCTCAGTAACATCCGAATGGTTTTACGTTTAAGCCCCGCAAATACTGGGCCACTAGAACTGTATCGTAATGCACCCAAAAACGTCTGTTCGTATCTCCACATTGAAAGTCGAGCTCGTCAGTTCTCGTAACCTTGTCATTTCTCGGACATTCCCGCCTCTTGTACCTGCCAGCAGTTGCATGCAGCAATCCAGTATGCATTCAGCTGGCACCTGTTCGGAACCGCATATCGTCCTCTAGCACGCGAGGAGCACCGTTTCATCTTGTTGGATTATAGGCAAAAACTTGCCGTTACTCATACACTGAAGATGACAAGTGACTGGGCCACATCGGCACGCATGAGGTTCAGTGAGAAAGACGTCAAATACGATTTATTTGAGGAAACCCGGAAGTATCTTGGAAGATTGGGCTATGGAGAAATGCTATTACTACTTGAATAATTTTGAGGTACGTATCTACCAGCTTTAGCATTATCTATGCCTCACCTTGTTCAAGAACAACCACGAACCCGAATAGCAAGATGCGTGACCGGAGACGCTGAGATCATGAAATTTTGCCGCTAGGCCTTCAATTCTGCTGTGCGAGCTCCCGTCGAAGAGTTCAATCAGCCTAGAGAGTTCCTGAAGTTTCTTCACGACGTTCGACAAGCCACCGGTGATGGCCACAATATTGCCGACGGTCCAGATCACGAGGATGGGTAAGTTGGAGAGGAGTAACGTATTCGCAACGACTGAGGTTTGTTGGTCACAGGTTTGATATAGTCATTCCGGCCATGCTTATAGAATCGTTGAAAATGGGCCCGACTGTGGCCTAGCGATAGTTTGTCGTGCATGAGGGTACTCATCCCTTGGATCTCCCATCAATGGGTGCACTATCCGTCGGCCACCGTTCATCCACACTGAGCCGCGATTAAGGCTCTGACAACATGAGTTTGGCCTGGTGAATGGCTCATGCGCATTGTCATCAGTACTCACGCAGAATACGTTGGCAATGGTATGTGCCAGTAGGTACCCTGGTGGCAACAAAAAAGGTAGAAGAAGACAAGTCGCGGGGAGGCGGCCAAGAAACGTGACATGTGAAACACGTTACTCATGGACGTTTAAATAGGGAAGCAATGGGGATAAGTGTAGTGCTATCTTCTGAAAAAGGAGAATACTAAAGCGAGTGCCAAGTGCACGAGACGAGGAGCGCCGGTACGTTTGGCTAATCTTACCTATGCTGACTGTAGTGGGATCACCTTATAAAAGGTTCCAACTCGGTTTTCAGACGGCGTATATTTCCGGAGTGAATGCCTTTTTCTTCTGCTTTTGGGCTTTTTATCCCTTTGAACTGATAAATCGGACGGGGCCCACAGTGCCACTGCCCTTGTTTGATGGTGGCTGCGAACTATTAGTATTAAATGACTAATAAAAAGTAACACGGATTTACTTTTGGAAGGTTGGGAAAGCATGTCAAGATTTAGACATTGCATGCGCTTCTGAGAAAGTCCTAGTCAGCATCAAAGTTAGCATTAACTTTGAACCATTCAAAATTGACTCAAGAGTTTCTGTGCTCCAGGTACTTCGGTGGCGGTAGCGGAGAGAGCTGAATTTCAAATTATGTAACATCACGTGTATGTCACAGGCTGATTGCTTACCGATCAGCGTCACGCTTAGTATTGCTAATGGATTAGATTTCCCGCCAATGAAATGTGGCTGGTTGCACTCTCCTCAGCTTACTCACTTTTCAGCATCTGTCCCGTCCGCGACCTCCGGCTTTCTCAGCCAACTCACCTTTCCTTCTGCCTTTTAACTCGAACAATTTGACGCTGGCGGAACACTCATATCTTTCACCTCCAATATCTACTATTTCAGTCATATCCTCCGTGCCCTCGTCCCCGATTCTCTCTGCTTCGAATAGCAAGTCTTAGAGCGGTCCATTAATCCTTATATCACGAGGATGTCCGATTCAGACTCTACCCTATCCCCCGAACCTCAGCGCACTATTAAAATAATCTTCATCTCGGATTATGTACGTCTACCTTCTTATTCTCCTTGTATATTCCATTTTTCCTATGACTTATCATTCTTCGGCACTTACCAGCTCTGCGCCTTTTGCTACATCGGGAATAAGTCCCTCAAAGACGCTATTGCCGGATGTCGTGACTTGGATGTACGTTTCGACGTGGAATTCCGGCCATTTACCCTCCTCTGCCAATCATCCGTACCCGAGGTCCCCAAAGCGAAAGGTGAAAAAGTGCCCAATCGCTGGGATTACCTCATTCGGAAGTTCGGTAAAGAGCAAGCGGAAAGCAAGTGGAAAGTAGTGGAGGAATTAGCACAAAAAGCTGGGCTACCACTGTGAGCATTTTCAGCATGCGGTCAGCGTTTTTTCTGATACAATGAATTAATAGTGCGGAAGACGGAATTGTGGCCCGGTCTACTCTCGCCCACAGACTGGCTGTGAAAGCATATAAAGTTGGCGGGCAAGCTATGCAAGGCCACCTCAACGATCTTTTATTCGATGCCATTTTCGCCGACTGCCAGGACGTTAGTGACGTCGAGTTTCTTGCCGATGCAGCAGAGAAAATTGGCTTAATGAACAAGGCAGAGGTATGTTTCAATGTCAAACTTAATCAACAGTCGATGACATAAAATTGCTGCACCTTGCAGGCTACTACTTTCTTGCAAGATACTGATTGCAAGAACTGCGTCAATCAAATGATTGAAGCCGCCCGGGCGAGCGGTGTGAATGGCGTGCCTTCCATCATCATTGATGGAAAATGGGCTTTGAATGGCGTTCAATCTACAGAGTGTTACCTTCAGGTGAGCAAGACTCGTTCATTTTAGCCTATCAGTAAACTCGTCCGGGTGCGGTATCGCTGATTCTTATTGCATGTAGATCTTGCGCAAAATTGCACAATCTTCGTCAATGACGGAATGTGCATCGATCGTCTCAGTGGAATCATAACAGATTTTACGCATATTTCTTTCACTCTCCTCTACCCATACCGTGCTTTATGACCTCAATTCATGCGTGCAGGTCGTGGTCATCGCTTTGGATTAATTATTTAAGGACCACTCACGCAACCTCGCGTAGGAAATTCAGTCTGAAAGGGCCTTGCATTTCGTACTTTTTCTCTTGCTCTTTGTACCATTTTCTGCGTGTTGTATCGCATCGCTGTCTTTATTAGCGAGCGTGTGTTTGTATCTTTCTTCTATGCTATGCTATCTACTCCTTTACCTTGTTAGTCCCGTTTTTAAAGTGGCCACCATGAGGGAGAGGTAGTATATAACATTTGACCTTCTCTGTTCCATTTGACACGAGGATAACCCCCTTCAACATCACTATCCTTCACCATCTTGCGAAGTTCGACAGTCGGTTCACCGATCTTGCCGAGCTTTCCATACCCCTGTACTGATCAGACTCGGTACCATGCTATATCAACACAGTCACCTTATTCGGCCTTATTTCCGGCAGGTTGCCGTTTGTAACCGTGCACGGCGGAGTCTTTCAGAAGATAACAGTCAAGACTACCCGTTCGAAGATTCCGATTGGTTGATTCAAGTGTCAATGCGAACAGTCTGAAACCGAAAGGAAGGATCACCACGCAGGCGCCAGTTGGAGAATGTTACCTCCTTCCGGTTTCATAGTGGAGTGCGGTTAAGTCATTCCCCTAGAACCTATCTCAGAACCCATCTGTGGCCAGGAGATGAAACATTATGACATAGTTGGCCAATAATAAATGATCTGGACCCGTTTCCTATGATCACACGTTGAAGATAAACCTCGCGGTCCCGTTACCCATGTGCTCCACATTCCGCACAGTAGAGTGTCAGGTAGATACATCAGGTTGTTGCCCAAATGCACTAGCTGATAACTTGGGAACCGTGAATGACCTAGACTGGCCTGCGATGGCCTTAAGGTGCTGCAATTCCGCGTATAAGTTCCAAATCCATGGACCAACTATACCAGTTGGGCCAACGGCTTGCAGGTCCGCATTAGTATTCATCTTCTTTGCAAGGCCCAGGATCGCGCTAGTCTGTGCAGAAGCAGAGACTTCGTGAGCAGATGATGATATGTGTGAAAAGCAACCCACGGATTCAGATTAATGCGGCACCAAACCATCTGATAACGAACTAAATTGCAGAAGTCTCGACTTAGCGATGGAAGATCCGGGGTGCACAAACACAGGCACAAGTTATCTTGACACAGTATCCGAGAGGTTTTTGAGGAGCCGAAGGGGAGCTGCATCAAAGGCGTGTTCGGCCTAGTCCGAGAGGTATTACACAAAGATCTGCGCAAAAACAGCCTCGTGTTGCCTGGCCTTTAGGTGTTCAGCAATTGCCAATACACATGTACTAATACAATTTATACGAAGCAAACAACGATAACATGGCCTTTGAAATATCTTGAGCATAGTTTGGAAAGCGCACGAGAAACATACCACAATGTATGAACGGTGGAGATTGATCACGATCATTCTATCCAATCGTTTAGGATATCCTCTAGTTCGTTGCAAACGCCATCGCGTGATATGTTGCTCGCGATATGATTAGAAGCTTTAAGCCTCTCGAGAGCGGCAAGCACCCAGTTCTGACAGTTCCAGTTTTCTCTGCCTCGATATACGGTTACTTGTCGAAGCAACACGCCTATCTCTTTTTCCGAGAACACATCAATCTCTCCGACCACCAGACAACCACGATAGCCTTCAGCAAGAATTTCCATACATTCGTCTTCAATGCAAGAGTAGGTAAGGGTGTCGATGTTGCCAATCGCTTGGTAACAAGTCCCCCAGTGATCTACTTGATCTGAATGTTCTTTCCCAGAGCTGCTGGCTTTGATTGAATCGGCATTTGCGTTGGAGATCGCAAAGAGTGCCCAGTGAAGTGGCATCCTGTTACCATTGGAATCGTGTCCGCGCCAATATTGTGCAACACACAGAGTTCTTTTCTCAGACGGCCCACTGTCGTCGCCCATGATAGTAGAAGGAAAGTTGTGTGGCTGGCATCCCGTATTACGATAACCGTATCAGGTTCCCGCGCCACCGCTTGGCTGGACCAGTCTAAGGATAACCTGGTTTGGGAACTTTATCCCCCTTGGTTAGCGTTTTTCAATCGAACATATCACACCTCTGCTCCTCACCATCACATCGGCAACAGGATTATGACCGTCTTCGTTCCATTGAAGGCAGGTTCGTCTCCTCCTCCAACACCATCTTTTCTAGTGTCTTCAGAAACCCCAAACTTGCACCTGCGAAAAGCTATCAAGGCCATCCTGAAGGCCAAACGGTTGGTTGTCGTGTGTGGTGCGTTTTCCAACCGTCGGAAAATTCAGATACCGTCGCCTTAGTCCAACTGAAAATGTACCAGGTGCTGGTATATCTGTTTCTGCCGGAATTCCAGACTTTCGCTCAGAGTCGGGTCTCTTTCAAACGTTGAAGCGAGACAACCCGAAAGAAGCGTTGTCTTCCGGAAGAGACTTGTTTGATGCGTCAGTGTTCAACGTGAGTCATCGTCCTTCCATGTTCGATTTTCCTAGATTGTGCATGGAAAATCTCTATTGCCTCAACCACCACGCGTGCTTACTGCTCATGGATGGCGACGGGCTCACACACGTTTAATAGAATGAACACACGACATCAATGTTTTGCCAAATGATAGCTCAATTATCCGAGCTCTCGCAAGCAGCCAGCCCCACGCCTTTTCATCAGGTACTGCGATCGCTTGATGACAGGGGCAGGCTCCTGCGTGTCTACACCCAGAACATCGACGCTATCGAGCTGAAATCTGGTCTTTCCTTTGGTGTCCCAGAGTTTGATAAGAGACGAGCAAGGCCGAAATCTAAGCCAAAATCGACTGGTCCTCCCATCGCTGATCAACTTGCGATATCTACTGGCGCTCCTTCTTCGCGAGATGGCTCATCGACGACACCGGGATCAAGGTACATGTCTCCTGCTGTTGAAGTCCCTCGTTGCATTCCTCTACATGGAACACTGCAGACGCTGCATTGCCAAACATGCATGCATACGTTTCCACTTGAGAATTACGTGCCTTCCCTGACATTAGGAACACCCCCAACTTGCCCCGAGTGCACCCAAATGGAGGAGACGCGTCAACTTATCGGAAAGCGAGCCCGAGGTGTGGGAAAATTGCGACCCAGTGTGGTCCTTTATAACGAGCTGCATAAAGATGGCGAAGGGGTGGGCGAAGTCGCGAGAAGAGATCTTGTTGGATGTTCCAAAGGCAAGGGGCGGAGTGGTGTGGATACTTTGCTTGTGGTTGGCACAAGTTTAAAAGTTCCAGGCACCAAACGCATGGTTCGCGAATTCTCGAAGGCGGTACGCGCCAGAGGACACACTGCGTCGAGGGATTCTACGGCTGCATCTACAGGTCTCGCAACACCAGCACCCTCTCCTGGCAAGGGGCCAGCTACATCAACAGGTGACTCTCCCTTCAAGTCTATCTATTTGAACTTTGATTTTCCGGGGCCGACGCGGGAATGGGAAGGCGTCTTCGACGTGTGGTTACAGGGAGATGCTCAAAGTTTCGCGGAGCTCTTGGAGGAAGAAATCGTAAAAGAGGCTGCCGAAAAAGAAGCTGCATTAGAGAGGAAGCGGAAACGGGAAGAGGATGCCACTCACTTAGAAGGCTCAGAAGAAGCAGGTCTTCCGAAGAAGAAGACAGCCAAGAGAGAAAATCAGAGCTCTGAAAAGCTAACAAAGCGGAAACCCAAAGCCTTGCCGTCTGTTCGTCCTCGGAAGTCCAAGAGCAAACACCAAGAAGACATGGACACCAGTGTACCATCCGCCCCGAAGATAACGCATGGCAACTCGAAACTTACGATTCGAATTCCACCCCTGAAAGGCCGTTACATCCCCGAGGTATGCATCACCACTCCTGTACCGCGGGGGCTTAAAGCGGCGCAATTTCCTTGCACTCCCCCTGCAACTCACGTGAAACATCGGTTGTTGTCTCATTCGGACTACCCGCCTTCAGATACCACGGAGATAGGATTTGATGAAAGCGATCTCTCCGAGTTGTCTGGTGATGAGGTAGCAGGCGAACTTCCTAGGACTGCTATACGGACTGCACAATATGGACTTCGGGCCAGCAGAGGGTAATAATATCTTGTACTATCTTTATTGTATTTATGTATCGTACGCTACACGCCTTGTTGACTTCGGGACTTTCACAATTAGTTAGCAGCTGTTGCACATGGGACTGCTTCAAGGTGGGATTTTAGCGTGCTATTCTTTCCAAATTGTGCCATGTGTCACATAAACTTTGTCATACAGTAGGCAACGCTTATTATATCAAGCTGACAAGTGAGACGCTCCTTACTAACGCCCATCATCATGAATAATCGAAATCCATGATGCTTTCTCGCTCATCAAAAAGTTTCAATGTATTATATATGTGGCAAGGCTGGAAGGCCTCCAACCATTCTACCATCTACATCTCTTTCACATGTCTTCGCAACAGAAAGCTCTTGTTCTTCCCAAAAAGCAGGGCAGCTTTGAGCTTAGCTCCCGCAGCATCCCCAGTCCTGGGGCCGGGCAGCTCCTAGTCAAAATTCAATCTGCAGCTCTGAATCCAGTCGACTACAAGATCAAGGACGCAGGTATATTCGTGACTCATTACCCTGCCGTTCTGGGAACGGATATTGCTGGGATTGTCGAAGAAGTAGGGGAAGGTGTCGAGAATTTCGGCAAAGGCGATAGAGTGTTAGTCAATTCTTTTCCGCTGTCTGTATAGGCTTAACCTTAGTTTACAGATTAGCGCACGGCAAGTTCACCAATGACTTTGCTGCATTTCAGCAGTATACCTTGACCGATGCAAGCTTTACAGCAAAGGTAAGTTATATGAATGTTCGTTGACCACATCGTCAGGACTCAGCTACATCTCATTTCAGATTCCTGCAAGCGAATCCTTCGATAGCGCAGCTACTGTTCCTCTTGGATTAGATACTGCACTGGTGGGCTTGTACGGAGATCAATTGGGAGCTGGGATAACACCTCCTTGGACGAAAAGCGCCGACGGTCACAAATCAAAGACGCCTATTGTCATCCTCGGGGGTTCTTCCTCTGTGGGGTCATACAGTAAGCGAAGTGAGACTTATTTCTTCAACTGCATCCTGACGGCATTGCAGCTATCCAACTCGCTCGTCTGTCAGGATTTTATCCTATCATCACTACAGCCTCTCCGAGCAATGAAGAGCTTGTCAAGGATTCCGGCGCAACTCATTTCTTTGATCGCAATCTTTCTGGAACACAACTGCTGGCGGCTATAAGCGAAGTTACGGACGGCCCTGTCAAACTTGTTTATGACGCCATCTCGTTGCCAGAAACACAGTCTGTAGCATGGGAATTACTTGCAGATAACGGCACCCTCGTCTTAACCCTTCCTGCATCAGTCAAGGAAAATGAAGGCAAGGGGCGCAGGGTGATTCAAACCTTCGCAAGCCCACATGCCGCTCAAAATGAGGAGCTGTGCAGCAGCTCCTGGGCTATGGTCGAACAATGGCTTTCGGACGGTACTATAAAGGTTTGTTCTGCGAGTATTGTTCTAGATTTATGACTCACAAATGATGTAGCCGAACAAGTATGAAGTCCTCCCGAACGGACTAGAAGGTATTATTGGAGGACTGGAAAGGATGAAACTGGGACAGGTGTCTGGCACGAAGTTGGTTGCTCACCCTCAGCAAACACAGTAAATGCAGGGTTGTTCCGCATCCTACATACGAAACTAGCGTTGGTCTTTGTCCGACTTAACACGTGTTTACCGGTATACCTACTCATATAGCAGAGCGCGTACATACACACGTAGGCCTTTATATAGGGCCATGTCCGACATAGGGCTTACGACAATAAATTGATTTTTTTCAAATAGTTCCGCGATGCTGAAATTTGTTTACATCGGATTCGAATTTCGGGCGCATCTCGAATGACACGATAACATATATAGTTGTAACGATACGTCCCAATTACAAGTGTGTGCTGGGCAATGTCGCCAAGAGAGCTCTTGTTGAAAGTTCCAACGTATAAAGGCTTGCAAGGGGCGAAGTGACGTGAATGCTCAGCTTGTGGTTGTAAAGGTTCCAGCTGCACCGTGACTGTGTGTTGTCCAAAAATTCCGACGGCTTAGAGATGGCTGAGAATCTGGGGGTACCTAAGGTTTCAGCCACGTCGAAGCCCATCAAATATCAGCCAACTTCTACGATGTCGGAAATTTGACCCTTCAAATTACCACTGGTGTCAACAATGGCTCGAACTTAGAGTCACTCTCACCTGCGTACTATCTACGTATTAGCTACATCCACCTGGACTCAGTTGTACATAACCTGCAGCTAACATATGATATATACGAATGATGAATGAAGCTGTGCCGCACGGTAAGTGTTCAGATCAAGGTGCACGGAGTTTACACGCTCAGGTTACTTCAGACGACGACGAAGATACCCCACCCCCTCGCAAGCTCAAATCCAAGCGCCCTAACTCTCTCGACGATGATGCCGACGAGCTGGAAATAGCAGCACAACCCAAACGGCCTCGATCTGACCCCCACGTGCCATTGCCTCCAAAGTTCAATAAACCTCGGTACTCCACCTCTGATGATGGTGAGGCTCCAACTTCGACGCAACCTGCCCGTGGAGCTACAGATTCCGATGGAGAGGAACACCGACCTCGGCTAAGCAAGCCTCAGCATCCTGCAAGTGCCTCCGTCCACTATGATGACAAGGATCAGCCTCCACGTCCCAAGCCGAAACCCAAGCCGAAACCTCGACGCCCTGCTGCTTGCGATGAGCACGAGGATTCACTAAGTGCGCATGTGACCAAGCAGTCGTCGAATGCGATTCAGGTATGCAGCTAAGACCAATTTTTTGTCGTTATAGTGATATTATGATTAGCAGTCTCAGCCAGCATCTCCGTCTCGACGCCCCTCACCCCCCCTGTCAGATCTGACTGACAATGACATCAACTTCTCCCCGCAAGCTCCAACGGCTCCCGTTCCCTCAAAGAAGAGAGGGAAGAAGAAAATCACCGATCCTGACGCTCCTCGAAGAACCTCCGTACGAAAGAGGGCTAATGGCTATTAGGACTGCATCTCTCTCATTGCACTTTCGTTCTCCGTTTCTCGCATTACTGCTTCTGCTGACATAGACTTAATGCCCGCTTTGGACTTTGCTATATGGACTTCGTGCAACTGATGTATTTTAGCTACCAGTGTTATGCTAATGCAATGCCTCTTGGGGCCTTCTAATGTACACAAGTCTCGAGTGATCTAGTAAGACCTAGTATTCCCTTGCAAGCCTCAGCAGTCTCGAGTGATCTAATAAGACCTAGTATTCCCTTGCAAGCCTCAGCAGCCTCGCAAGGTCAACCTACCTAGCACACCCTCGAAAGGCCATCCTAGACGCGCTCTCAGAAGGCCATCCAAGACGGGGCTATTTCCTCGCAAGGTATCGCAGGCCTTCCCATATTCGCAAGGTCGTGTATGGTCTTATTAGGCCTTCCAAGGCCTCGTTAGGTTTGGGCACTTTTGCTGATGACTTGTAAAGGTTCCAGGCTGCCGGGCATGACATAAGAACAAATCGTACAAAGAAGTCAGCGACTCGGACTTGCACAACTTGAAGTTGCTATTAGGAAGCTGCCAAAACTCCTTGTACACTCCTCGCAACTCACATCAACATGATATTTTTGTTGTCTCATTCAGACTACCCGCCTTCGGACTCGGAAGCCACAAACTCACCTGAGAATGACGATCTCTTCAAGTTGTCTGCTGGCACGATGAGCTCAGGCTAGGAGATGAACTTCATAGATATGCAATACAGACTGATGGACTTAAATTGGGCCGCTTGTGCGTACTATCTTTATTTTATCTGTGTACCAAATGCCAACCGTACGCTGCATGCCTTTTCGTCGAGTCTTCAACTCCACTCAGGCTGTTGCCCAGGGACTGACTGGAGTGAAGTTCCAGCGTGCTACTCGGCCTTGAAGAGACTACGCTAGCAAGGCTCCTGCCATTTCTGGCATCGCATCTCGTGCATATTACCAGTGCATATGGCGTTATCATGCAGAGCTTGTTATTAAGCTGATGTAGATGATCCTTACTAAGTTACTAACATTCGCCATTTCGAATGCCCGTCTGCATGAATAATCCATGATATATTCTTGCTCATCAAGTTTCAGTTTATTATATAGGTAGCAAGGTTGGAACACGTCCAACCGTTTTACCCTCCACATATATTTCGCATGTCTCCGCAACAGAAAGCTCTTGTCGTTCCTCACAAGCAGGGCAACTTTGAGCTTAGCTCTCGCAGCATCCCCAGTCCTGGGGCCGGGCAGCTCCTGGTCAAAATTCAATCTGCAGCTCTGAATCCAGTTGACTACAAGATCACGAACACAGATTACGTGACTCATTACCCTGCTGTTCTGGGAACGGATATTGCTGGCGTTGTCGAGGAACTAGGGGAAGGTGTCCACAATTTCCGCAAAGGCGATAGAGTGTTAGACATTTCTTTTCCTCGGTTCACCGTCAGCATAGGCTCAACCTTGATTTACAGATTGGCGCACGGCAAGTTCACTAATGACTTTACTGCATTTCAGCAGTATGCTTTGACTGCTGCGAGCTTTACAGCAAAGGTTAGTTGTGAGAAAGGTTCATCGACCACATCGTCGCTACAACTCATTCCAGATTCCTGCAAACGAGTCCTTCGATAGCGCAGCTACTGTTCCTCTGGGATTAGAAACTGCAGTTGTGGGCTTGTACGGAGACCAATTGGGAGCTGGGATAACACCTCCTTGGGCAGAAAGTGGCGACGGTCACGAATCAAAGAAACCAATTGTCATCCTTGGCGGTTCTTCCTCTGTGGGGTCATACAGTAAGCGAAGTGGGACTTATTTCTTCAACTGCATCCTGACGGCATTGCAGCTATCCAACTCGCTCGTCTGTCGGGATTTTATCCCATCATCACTACAGCCTCTCCGAGCAATGAAGAGCTTGTCAAGGGCTACGGCGCAACTCATTTCTTTGATCGCAACCTTTCCGGAAAACAACTGCTGGCGGCCATCAACGAAGTTACTGACCAACCTATCAAACTTGTTTATGATGCCATCTCGTTGCCAGAAACACAGTCTGTTGCATGGGAATTGCTTGCAGACAATGGCACTCTCGTATTAACCCTTCCTGCATCAGTCAAGGAAGATGAAGGCAAGGGGCGCAGGGTCGTTCCGACCTTCGCAGACCCACATATCCCCGAAAATGAGGAGCTGTGCAGCAGCTCCTGGGCTAGGGTCGAAAAGTGGCTTTCGGACGGTACTATACAGGTCTGTTCTGTGAGTATTGTCTTGGATTTATGACTCACAAATGATGTAGCCGAACAAGTATGAGGTCCTCCCGAATGGGCTCGAAGGTATTATTGGAGGACTGGAAAGGATGAAATTGGGACAGGTGTCTGGAACGAAGTTGGTTGCTCACCCTCAGGAAACACAGTAAATTAATTGTACAATACGTCCCAATTACAAGTGTGTACTGGGCAATGTCGCAAAGAGAGCCCTTATTGGAAGTTCCAAAGTATAAAGGCAAGGGCCAAGTGACGTGGACGCTCGGCTTGTGGTTGGCAAGAGTTTTACATAAAGGTTCCACGTACCAAACCAACACCAAACACATGCATGGAACTTCGTGAAGTAGTAAGAACAAACCGCACAAAGAAGTTAACGACTTGCTAGGAAGCTGCCAAAACTCCCTGCACACTCCTTGCAACTCACATCGACCAGTAACAATTTCTGTCGATTCATTCGAACTACTCGCCTTCAGACTCGGAGACCTGAGGATATGACGAAATCGATCTCTCCAAGTTGTCTGCTGAGCTCAGACTAGGAAACGAACCTTCATAGATCTGCAATACAGACTGCATAATATCATGATGAACTTTAATTTAGGCTGCTGGTGCGTACTATCCTTATTTTATTTGTGTACCATATGTCAACCATACGCTACATGCCCTCTCCGACACTCTACTGTTGGCCAGGGACTGACTGTGGGATTACAGCGTACTACTCGTCCTCGAAGAGACTGTATAGTGCATAGTGCACCGTGCCTGCGGCACTACTAGTAGCGAGGCTCCTAGTACCATTTCTGGCGTTATCACATCTCATGCACATCATGATACCAGTGCATATTGTGTTATCGTGCAGAGCTTGTTATTAAGCTGATGTAGATGATCCTTACTAACATTCGCCATTTCAACTGCCTGTCTGCGTGAATATATTCTTGCTCATCAAGTTTCATATTATATAGCCGGGTAGCAAGGTTGGAACGCGTCCAACCCTTTTTACCCTCCACATCACTTTCACATGTCTCCACAACAGAAAGCTCTTGTTCTTCCACGTAAGCAGGGCAACTTTGAGCTCAGCTCCCGCAGTATCCCCAGTCCTGGGGCCGGGGAGCTTCTGGTCAAGATACAATCTGCAGCTCTGAACCCATTTGACTACAAGATCAGGAACACAGATTATGTGCCTCATTACCCTGTCGTTCTGGGAATGGATATTGCTGGCATTGTCGAGGAACTAGGGGAAGGTGTCCACAATTTCCGCAGGGGCGATAGAGTGTTAGACAACTCTTTTCCTTGGTTTGCTGTCTGTATAGGCTCAACCTTGATTTACAGATTGGCGCACGGCAAGTTCACTAATGACTTCACTGCATTTCAGCAGTATGCTTTGACCGTTGCGAGCTTTACAGCAAAGGTTAGTTGTGAGAAAGGTTCATCAACCACGTCGTCAGTTACATCTCATTCCAGATTCCTGCAAGCGAGTCCTTCGATAGCGCAGCTACTGTTCCTCTGGGATTAGATACTGCTGTTGTGGGCTTGTACGGAGATCAATTGGGAGCTAGTATAACACCTCCCTGGGAGGAAGGCGCTGGTGATCACGAATCAAAGAAACCAATTGTTATCCTTGGCGGTTCTTCCTCTGTGGGTGCATACAGTAAGCGAAGTGAGACCTACTTCTTCAACTGCATCCTGACAGTATTACAGCTATCCAACTCGCTCGTCTGTCGGGATTTTATCCCATCATCACTACAGCCTCTCCGAGCAATGAAGAGCTTGTCAAGGGCTACGGCGCAACTCATTTCTTTGATCGCAACCTTTCCGGAAAACAACTACTGGCGGCCATCAGCGAAGTTACTGACGACCCTATCAAACTTGTTTATGATGCCATCTCGTTGCCAGAAACACAGTCTGTTGCATGGGAATTGCTTGCAGACAATGGCACTCTCGTATTAACCCTCCCTGCATCAGTCAAGGAAGATGAAGGCAAGGGGCGCAGGGTCGTTACGACCTTATCATACCCACATACCCCCGAAAATGAGGAGTTGTGCAGCAGCTCCTGGGCTAGGGTCGAAGAGTGGCTTTCAGACGGTACTATAAAGGTTTGTTCTGCGACTACTGTTTTGGATTTATGACTCACAAACGATGTAGCCGAACAAGTATGAAGTCCTCCCGAACGGACTTGAAGGTATTATTGGAGGACTGGAAAGGATGAAATTGGGACAGGTGTCTGGAACGAAGTTGGTTGCTCACCCTCAGCAAACACAGTAAATGCAGGGCTATCAACTTGTTCGACATCATGTGTACGAAATATGCGTCGGTCTTTGTCTGACAGTATCTACTAATCATATACCAGAACACACACATCTGATTTATGTAGGGACGGAACGTTTGATCCCGCGTAAGCAATTCGCGTCTAGCCCATAAGCGTGCTCCGGCTCCACATGCATTCCCAATCGCTCAAGCGCTCACTATCCGTGTGCGGTCGGTGGTCTTGCATTTGTGTGCGTTCTTCGCTTATCTCCCTCCTTTTGCAGTTGTGCACAATACGTCTCTCCTGAGCTCCACAGCATCGCAATCGATTCGCTCATTTCTATTCTAACTAGGCAGATTCCCATCACATTTTCTTTCAATCCAACGCGTTCAATAAATTGCGAACAGTTTCTCCTGCGACCTGCTTATGCGACTCAAAGCCTGTCAAGGGCTGACGCGGATGCTTGAGAAAGCCGTGCTTGACTTGTGCACAGATTCGTTTGCACACGGACAGCTATACACCGCACTTTCAGGAGTATGACGTCGGTGAGACATTCGAATGCTGTTTCTAAGAGAATAAGAGGAAAAGGTAACAGCAGGTGCAATGTCCAAAGGTGAACAGAACGTTTATATTGGTGTATAAGCACACTTGCACAGAAATCCCTTTGAAAAAAACAAGCCGCGC